TTTTTCATAAATTCACCAAAGGAAATGGGGGGGGAAAAAAAGTATTTTTGTGACCGAATTGATTCTTTTTAAGTTGTGTGGTTTGTGTATCTGGATCAAGGTTCCTTTTATATGCTTGAATAATTTATAATTCAATGTTAAATGGTGCGATTCAACCAAAAAAAATGGTCAGGTACACGTCAGGTTTTACTGTTATGGTGAAATGGTTTTGCTGGAGTAGTTTAGATCGAAAGGGGGTTAAATTAAGTCTGATGCCCTGGCCTTAAATTGTTCACCATTTGGAAACCATACATACTCACCAGTGAAGGTTTAGTTCAGCTGAGCACAAGCAGCTGGAAATGTCTAGTCTAAGTTTGCCCAGTAACAATTGCAACTGGCTCCATTAGCATGGATGTTTAAGCATTTGGTAACCTGGCTCTAAAGCTGGAACTGGAGACACATTTTTTAAAGACTTGTATGAAAGTTTCCTCTTACATCCAAGTGATCAGTTTATTTTTACGCCTTTTACCTACCTCAAGGTCCAGACAATTCCCTGCTATTGCCATTTGCTCCACACACATCATCCTTCGGTTTCTTTTACGTCACTGATTCTTTGGACAGAAGAGCTTAACTCTTGTTTGTTTGTAATATCGGTGATCTGGGAATTCAAGCTTATCTTATTGTTGACTGACCATTAATTCCTCTGGATGAGTTTCAGCTAAATGCCGGCAAATTTAAATACAAAGAGGATTTTTAAGCCAACAAAAGTTCCAGTAATTGGAGTCTCAAATCAGACTCTTCAGATGTAAAATTAACTTGGCAACCAAGCGTCTCTGCTGAAAATTGATAGAATGCGACAAATGCCATCAATTTTAATGGGTGGTTATGATAAACAGAGCATATCCATTCTGCAAGTATTACAGAGTAAATGTGTTTGTCAGGCCAAGCTAGTTAAGAAGCACACGAGTCATTGTGATTTTCCATTCAACAGATATAAAGACGGAATAAACAAACTATCGCTACAGCGTCTGCAGCTTTCTCTCTGGATCTCCCATTCTCTACAAGCAAGCTGCAGCACTGCCAACCCGAGTAATACCCTTACGTTTTAACAAGGCAGACAGTTCATTCCGAGTTTATTAGACTCAGCATCCAATTATAAAATGTCTCCAAGATATATAAATCCAACTCATCCCCTTTAATATTTTACTTTTGGGACAGTGTTTGGTCTGACTGCTGTCTGACTTTATTTTAATTATAAGATGAAGCGCACTCCCCTTCTGGCTAAAAAAGGTTATTGCACGTTCAAACTAGTGTAATGATCCAGCAAGGGAGTTATGTTGATCCCTTTCACACAATTGCTTCAGTAGCCGTTGTATTTTTGTGGCAGTTTTACTCGATTGGAATAACTTCAGCTTATGACTTATCCACTACATTTTAGAAGGATTTTAATCCACTGCACTCATCTGTCGTTGCTGATTGAAATTTGCAGGTTAAGACTTTACAAACCAGATGAATAAGAAGATGCATTTATGAAATCAAGACTTCAACAGATTCTATTTGTGCATCAGCTCCTCAATAATTATAGTCCAATATAACGGGCAGAAATACAGAAATAAACACTGTATTAGTATTTAAATATATTCGTCAAGTTCTTATTTTTTGTATCGCAGCAGTGCAGAGCAATGATGCAATAATTCTTTTGCTCAGAAAGCAAACAAACATCGGTAGATGACAGCAAATCCACTTTCATGTCATCTAGTTCAGAGAGCTAAACTTTAAGAAAAGATCAAACAAGCAGAACTTTTTGAGTTACTTATATTTGGTATTGGTTCATGTCAGAGGTCAGAGGAGAATGGCTGGACTGCTTTGAACTCAAAAAACCACACGTGGCAACCAAGGTGTGCAGAAAAGCATCTTTGAATACACAAGACAGCAGCAGCAGACACACCAAGTGTCACTCCTGTTAGGTAACAACAGACATTTGAAGCAACAATTCATATGGGTTCATCAGAAAAAAGTTGCCTGATCTAACAAGTCTCAGTGTGTTCTGTGACATTGGGACGGTAGGGTCAGAATGTGGCATAAATGACACGATGCAGGGATCCAACCTACCTTGTACCAACAGTTCAGGCTGGTGTTGGTGATACAAAATCCGGAGTAATGCTGCTGATCATGTTCATCCCTTTATCACCACAGTGTACCCATCTTCTCCACCCAGCAGCAGTGTCAAAGATGCAATCTTCTCAAACTGGTTCCTTGGATTTTAAAATGAGTTCACTGTATCTAACTACCCTTCAGAGTCACCAGATCTCAATGGAGCACCTTTGGGATGGGGCGAAACAGCAGATTCACATCACGGATGTGAAACCGACAAATCTGCAGCAACTGTGTGACAGCATCACGTCAGCATGGCCCAAAATCGCAGAGGAATGTTTGTAGCGGCTTGCTGAAGCTACTATGAAATGAAGAATTAAGAAAGTTTAACCCTGGTATTAGGCAAGGTGTGCCTACCAAAGTGTAAAAAGCCATACAGGCTGGGGCGACTGTGGCTCAGGGGAAGCGCATCTGTAACCGGAAGGTCGCTGGTTCGATCCCTGGGCTCTCTGTCCTGGTCGCTGTGTCCTTGGGCAAGACACTTTACCCTACCGCCTACTGGTGTTGGCCAGAGGGGCCGATGGCGCGATATGGCAGCCTCGCTTCTGTCAGTCTGCCCCAGGGCAGCTGTGGCTACAACTGTAGCTTGCCTCCACCAGTGTGTGAATGAATAGTGGCATTGTAAAGCGCTTTGGGTGCCTTGAAAAGCGCTATATAAATCCAATCCATTATTATACAGGAGGAGAGGAAACAAAACAACTCTTTAAATGATGAGTCAGACCCAGGGGAGTCATAAAGTAAACCTTTAATCTCAGATATACTTTCAGATGTGGTTTTATTACCAGTTGTTAGTTTTACAGGTCATTACAATGGAATGCTGAAAGCTATAGATTATTCAACAAGAAAGTGCACACATGACATCCTTAAGATTCAGATTTGTACATCATATAATAAAATCTGCTATTCTATATTTTTCTATATTATCATTCATATGTATATAAAATTAAAAATAACCTTTAATCAACGCAAAAATTCCATTTGAAAACATCAAAATAAACAAATGAATTAAAAGGGAACTATAATCCACCGTTTCCAGCTTCTCTGCTTCACGACTAAGAACATCAAACCCATGCCTAATAATAAGGCCCTTCAAAAAGTACATTCCTTTATCCTGTGACGTTTCGGCTGACAATCGCACACAGCGTGTACAATCCATCGCTATCATTATTGCTCCGTCTGTAACGTTTGTGTTAAAAGATAAAGGTACCGCTTGACTAAAGTGCTCAGCATTAAATAGTGACACACGACAGAGCCTAGTAAACACGAATGAAGACGAAAACAGTCTTTGGATGGCGATGTAATGCCACTGGATGTCATTACAGTGCTGACAGGAACATGTGTGTCATTCTCAGATTACGGCCTTTAATAATCATTAGCCTCATACTGCCCAGCTGGTGAAATGTTAGGAGTACTTCGACGGCCAGTGTTTTAGCATGTCTTAGCCCATGTAGTCATAACCAAATTAGTGCTTACATTTATTGTGCTGCCCCTTCTTGTCAAATCTTCATTAATATCCATCAATACTAACATAAGACCCAACATATATGTTGAATGGGAGGAATCTCCACTATATTAGTGCATTTCAAAAATCTATCAGATGCAGATGCTGATGCTGACGTGACCTTTGGAGTGACTGAGCTGAAGATTTCACAGAGATTTTAGATATTGTAGTCAATGAACAGAAAACAATAGCTGCCTGGAGATCAAGGAAAACACAAAACTATTCAGGGGAAAAAAGCATGCAAAAGTTACTTTAGGTTAATTTGGTTGATTGTTGGTTTGTTGGTTGGAACACCGAGTGAGTGATAAAGCTTTACTTATACTTTGAAGCAAGTCAGTCCATTCCTACTCCGTAAAGCTTGAACTCCACCTTTCAAAGCACAGATGACAAATGCTTCTAAGCTCCTGGTAAGCGTAAACAGAAGATGGATTTAACCCACAGTAGAGCCTTCTGAAAAGCACATGGAGTGACGCAGTGAACAACATCAGATACAATACTTACAATAAAAACTTTCACACTGGAATAAGCTCATAAAAACAACGCTTTAAAACATAGGTGTCAAACTCTGGCCCGCGGGCCAAATTTGGCCCGCAGCCTAATTACATTTGGCCCGCGAAGCCATACCAAATTACTATTAGAGCTGGCCTACTGGTATTATACATAATATATATATTGTTTAGTATTAAGCTTTGCTTGTTCCATATTCAGTTTTTCAGCAAAACTTGTTTGAGTCCATAAGAAAAGATTCATACTTATATCTGGAGGAATAAATATATTTCAATAAATATTAATGTTAGCCCGCGACTTTGTTCCAGTTTTGAATTTTGGCCCACTGTGTATTTGAGTTTGACACCCCTGCTTTAAAAGAAATGAAAGAACAAATAAAGCACATGGTGTGTTTCAGTGAACACAGAAATATGACAAGAAAACAAAAAGATGAAATCAACAGCGGCGAGCCAACGCCGTTGATTCCGTAAATTCAACACCACAACTTAAATCTAGAAGGACACTCGGACAAAACATCCTCTGCAAAGAACAAAGATGGATTACACAACAACGATCCCGATCCTCACCAAACTTTTACAAACACTTATATTTTGCACACACTCCACCTCTTTGCATGAAGTGTGATGAAGTTTCACTTGGTAGTTTCTGCATAAACTTGCTGACAAGAACAAATGGCACCAATCCCAAACATCCGGCTCTGCTCTCGCACCGATTTACCGATGATCGATTTATCAGTGCAGAAAAACATTCAGTGAGCAAGAAGCGAAAATGTGAAGAATATATGAAGAAAACAGGCAGTTTAACTTTAAAAGACTTTTGTTTTTTTGTTTGTGCAACAAGCAAAACAAAGGCAAGAGTGATCATTACATGACGTTTTATAATATATATGGTTACAATAAAATAGGTTCTTCTATAGGCTGTATGGCTTCTGTTTAAAGTTTTCTGCACCAAACATTACCCTCCATGGAGTGGGATAACGTTTGCCCAAAATATGCATTTGGTATGAAAAATAAAGGTTTCTCTCTTTTTTCTTTGTTTTCTTCCTTTTTTGGAGAAATTCAACTCTTTGGAATAACATAACAATACAATATAATAAATAACGATGTGGCGTCTTGTTATAGGAACTGCTTTAATCTAAATGTGCCTCCTTTGGCTTCCCTCTGCTTGATCACATGCACAGGTATTGTGAGCGTGTTGTAATTGGACAGAATTTGAACACTGGTACCTGCTTTGCATCTAAACAGTTAAACATACTAATAAGTAGGAGTCCTTTTAGAAATGTATTACTTGTTGCAACTTTCCTAAAATCTAATAGTCAGACTCTGCAAAGCAGTAAAGGGTTAAGAGCAAAGTGCCTTTAAGTTGCTAAAACATAGATCACCTGGGATGATGATAAAGAGATGTAGAGAAACGACTCTCAAGATTTCAGCAATTTCAGTTCAACACCAATTTAGACGGCCATAAAAGCTGCGTGTAAATGTTATAGCCTTTAAGGGAACTTTAAAGAGAGGAAGTTGGAGGGTTGTTCTGCAAGTCAGGTTCTGGTACAATTCTTTGGTCTTTGACCACATCCTTGTTGACATTTTCACCACATATCTCCCGATAGTCTAACAGACATGCTGACATTTCAGAGCAAAGGGAAATTCAATTTAGTCAGGAAACAGGGAAGTGAGATGTTTAAAGGTCTGTGAGCTGTAACTGATTTTAGACAACCAAACTCAACTGCAATGGTGTAGCTATGCTGAGATTTACTCCCTTTCAAGTGCATTAAGATGAGTGCATGTGATCCTACAACCCCTGCTACAGTAACCACGTCTAAAATTTGCAGATGATCGGAGGAGGAGCTAAAGACAGTCAGGCGCTTCTATTCTTTCCTCGGGTGTAACGTGAGGTTTGTGGTTTAAGAACCTTGAAAAGGGTTCAGTTGTTAATTACACCAAGAAAACAACCTAGAATAGTGATACACTCACTTAGTTAATTCACTTTTTTCCAATGCCGAATTCATCACTCGATTCAAGCGATGTGATTTTAAACCCGTGAGTTGTTCTTTCACCCGCGTCTAATAACTCTGTGGCATCGGCCACTGTCCTTTTATTGAATTTAACCAGACAAGCAGGAATCAGCAATTTATCGCATCAGTAACTTAAATAACTAATGTTATATATTCCAAATCACTGAGTAGCTCTGTAAAAAGATGTGGATGGATTTTACAAACACACTGTTCAACCATAAAGAATATCAAAGAAACACTAGACTCAGTTTTCATGCCTGCAGGTAATGTTTCAGTCTTGCTTAGATGTGCAAAAAAACTCTAGTCAAGCGGAAAGACTGTCTTAATGCCAGGGGTAGATTTTAACTTTGCCTTTAGCAATGATGTGGATAAGCCATAATTTATGAGTGGTATTCATTAATATAGCATTTATGTTTAGTCTGAATTTGTTACAGAGCTGCATAGAGTTTGATTTGTTTTTGCCATGACATGCCTGCAGTCATAGCGTTTTAAAGAAGGTTAGGAGGCATGGACTGATTTCTGCACAAACTAACCCTCAATTCTCAAGTCTTGTTATACCCTCAACAATAATGCGAGGCAAAAATGCTTCTCAATGAGGCCAGTTACAAAAAAAAAAAAAAAGGTTAAAAGGTCTTTAAAATACATATGGAGGTCTAAAATATGAGGAGTGTGAAAGCTGATGGGCAGTATATTAATAACATCTACTTTGACAACTCTACTGATGCTTGAGTGAGTTTTAAAGGGTCTTATTAACTAAAAATAAAACATACATATAAGGATATGACAATATGTGATTTAACTTGGGTGGAGAATTAATATGTATACTGGCAGATCAAAACATCTGCACTGCTTTACGGCCTAAGAAATTTGTAAAACTCTTCGGGTATGTAGGTGTTGTAGACCCCATAAAGTAGCTCAACAGACAGGAAAACAACCGTGGTGTACACTGTGACTAAAAAACATCCAGCTTTCAACCCATAACCTACAAACAGATGTTTGCGTCCCTGAAATTAAAATATGTCATAAAAAACAGATACGATTTTTAAAAATGCACCAAGTGAAAAGGTTTGACATCAAATAAGGCCTAGAAATTTCTAAAAAGCTACAATCTAAACGATTGGGTGCCCAGGAACTTTAAGTGACAGAATGACAGCGAGAAACTCGAGTGCAATAAAAGTCAAAACTAGGCTGAAGTTGTTTTTGTGGCTTACCCAGCAAGTGAGAACGTGGTTTTTGAAGACAGAAGCTGTAAAAACATAACCAAACATAAAACTAACAACCACGCTATCATCAAGACAAAAAAAAAAACCGTCTGACGCTAAAGTAAAAACAAGATCGTCTGAAACTGGAACAGTCCAAACCTTTGGTAATGCATAGTTCTTTCCTGAATGTCTCAGACTTTCATCAAAACCCTCCACCATCTCCAGCTGTCGCTCTACCACTGCTACCTAATAAAATAAAGAGCAATGAGAATCACAAACTAATGACTCTTCCCCCTGCCGTTCTCAGGAACTCTCCTTTTGCTTTTTGTTTCCCGTTCATACAGCATTTGCAGTTTTGGCTTGTTGGTTTCTGAACCAAAGACATAATTTAGAGCAGAGCGGTGAAGCAGCCCTCTTCCCTCTAACTAGTAAAGGAGGGCTGCAGCCTGACCGTTCTATAACTGGCCTGTCGTCTCAGGGGAGGAAGGCCCCATCCTCATCTTCGTCTGCACTGGGACCAGGGTCGCTCAGACACCTCATTAATTTCTGCGGATCTTTTGCTTCATCCTCTTCACTCGGCTTTTTAGCTTCCCGTGGCCTCGACGGGGGCTTCATCATCAGGCCCTGCTCCTCCTCCTCCTGCTGGTTAGCCTGTCCGAACTCATCCAACAGATTAACTGAGTCTGGAGACTGAGGAGAGGCCAGGTCTACCTGGATCATGGGCACCTTGTTCGATGCAGGCTTAATGCTGTAGGCTTGCGGGTCTATAAGCAGGACACAGGTAGAATATGAGGGATTTCAACTTTTTTCACCAGCCTTTAAAATGGATATAATATCACACAATCATTCCTTCAGCATGCATGAACAAGTACCAGTGGATGTACAAGTAGATGAACAATTAAGGGCAACAGAATCACTGCACAAAACTACACAACAACAGGCTTTAGGACCGTTCCCATTATTTCTAGTGTAACAAAAAATAGGGTAAAGTTAGTCATGATCTATTAAAGGTGCAGCACATGCCAACTTTCAGTTAAAGTGAAGAACACAAACTGAAGCTCCTCACATGTAACATGCTCAACTCCAATATGCTTGGCTACAATAAATCACCTGCACGTGGCTTTTATCAGTTTAGTAATGAGTCACATCATTAGTAATGATTACTGAGTGCTTACAAGCAGGGTAACTGACACATGCGTGTTAGAATTGCTCATGTGATAGCACGGCTTACGATTAATCTTCTCTACGCTTACAACATACCTGAACACATTTTGTTTCCTTTTTGCACCTGATCAGGTTTGAAATCAGTATGTTTGCCTAAAATAAAACCACAGATTGTTTTACATGCTGACCGGCACATGCAAACACATTTCCATTAGTGGGGAAATATCTGTTGCAGCTGGGAACGGTAATAGTGTTTCTATGGTCTTTATTGCTCTGCAAATGGTATCGTGTGACCCTAATAAAATACAATCTCTGAATCTTCTGTGTCCCATTATAGACATTTTCTTACATTATTTCAGGAGGTACCTGAAAGTAAGATGGTTGAGACTACTGAGTGTTTTCATTTGGCTGGAGCTAAGAATGATTCAGACATGCATTTACCTGAGGCCAGTCTGGCTCTGCACATGGTCGGGGAATCAGGGGGAGGGGCAGGGACCGTCAGGTAGGTATTCATCTCCTTTAACTAGGAAGAAAAACAGAGATATTGTTGGTGTGGGATGGTTTAGCCTTCTCCATGTAATCAAGCAAAACGTATAATACAGTATTGTACAAGTGTCAAAAACTGGCCATAGAAAAGGGGTGCAACACTTATTGAAACATGGAAACATGCATGAAAATATAGTTTATAAAGACAAAAATAGAGTTTGTACAATTCTAACAAGCCTGAAAGTGAATATTTGCTATGACCACCTTTCTTCTTTACCACTGACTGAAGCCTCTTAAGAAAGCTTTCTTGTAATTTCTTTAGTAAGTTTTCAGTTCTCCGGGTTTCTTGTAGGACATTCAAATCTCTTCTTTGCATGTTGGCTGGATTTTTTGGCTGTTGTCTTTAAAGGTGATCCCACACTGCTTCACTAATATTAATATTTGGGCTGTGGGACGGCCAATCCATCAATGACAGTGTGCCACTGTGTATTTTTCTCTCCAGGAATGCTTTTACTGCAATGGCAGTGAGTTTGGAATCATTGTCATTCTTAAAAATGAAGCTCTTGCTAATCAGAGGCCTTGTATATGATATTGCATGCTGGATCAAAATCTGATGGTACTTTTCATTCATAATTCCATCAATTTTGCCCAACACAACCGCCTGAAACCTAGCCCCAAACCATGACAAAGCCTCCATTGTGCTTTACAGATGGCTGTCGACACTATTGTCACTGCTACTCCATACATACCGACAACGATTTGATCAAAAAATTTTCTAATATAAATTCATCACTCCAGAACACCTGTTGCCAATGACGTTCAGCCCAGTCGTGTAATTTGTCCTACCTCAGCCTTTTCTCCCTACTATCTTTCCTCTTGACAGCCCCTCTTTCCTCTGAGACCATTTCTGATGAAGCTTTAGCAAACAGTAGATAGATTAACTGAAGGGCCAGATGTATCTCTTAGGTTCTTTCTCAGGTCTTTGCTGAATTCTTTCCTATTTATTAAGGACATGACTTTCAGATATTGATTCACCCCGTCTGTCAAATTGTATTAAATTTTCCATTTGTCACAGATTCAACTAAATAAAAAAGGAAAAAATTATGCGTTTTTGTGACAGGCTGTTAGTGCCTTTAATGCATAAAAATACAATTTAAAACTGGTTATTTGCTAAGTTGTCTGGTATGTGCAGACACAACACTGGTTCATCCCTCGAGTTAGGTGCTTTTTTTATGCTTCATCCCTCAGTGTTAAGCAGCTTACAACACAAAAATAACAAAACAAAAAAACTCAACACTGCTCTGAAAATAGTGAGGTAAAACAAAATGGGTGGAAAAGCAAACAATCTTCAAAGACAAACTTTGTAAGACCTTTAGAAAGGCTGGAGAACTATTGTTCAAGATCACTTTGGGGGGGAAAAAACTACAATAAAGCCTGAAACGTGGGTGACTTGAGACTTTTGCACAGTTCTATATCTAAACATTCAAAATCAGTAATGTACAAAACTCAGATAGCAAGAAATCCAGTTTCTGTCTCATGTAATTGGTTGGAAAATACAGCAACCAAACTGAACCAGCTCAGAGATAAAGACATCATTAATCAATGTTATACAGAAACTTTATTAAAATTATGTGTCGCTTCATTAAACTCTGCAGACATCATCTTGAGCCTACAGTAACTTCTAGCACATTCAATTTAGCCTAAACAGAAGTCTATTTTTATTATCTAATTACAGGCTGGCTAAAATGAAAATAATCACAGAGCCACTCAACTGTGAGAATCAATCAGCTCCTATTTGTGACAGGAAAATTAATTTAAGAGAATGAGGGTGGACTCTAATTAAAACTCAAATCATAGTTTTGGTTGAATCATTATACCGTTGGCTACCCAGTAAAAAAAAAGGTAGAAAAACTGCTCCTTTGTTTCTATGAAATATACTTCGAGTCACAGAAGGACGTTTTCTTCAATTCAGATTTATTTATTCTGGCAAATGTTTGTTCGAAAAAATTCGACTTCAAAAACTGAAACTTACCTTCTTCTCTATCTGAAACATCTTTTGCTTCTTTAGGAATAAATCGCTGAGTCCATCCTCGTAAGGATCGGCCACCAGTGTGTGTCTGTTATACGAGCGCAGCTGAGAAAGACAGACACATGAACACACGTTAAAGAGATTGCAATCCTGCAAACATCACTGCACATTTAGGCAGGTTATGATCAGAACTAATAAAATTCTTTACCAAACTAAATAAAATAATTAGGTCTCCACAAACAAAAAAAAAAAAAGCACAAAAAATTAATTTAACTCCAAGTCTATCTCAAAAATCAATAAATATGTTATAAACTAATGGGAGGGAGATCCCCTGTGAGCACCAATCAATACTTATTATGGAATGCTTAACTCCCATTGAGACAAAACCAATTTTACATCCAGATGAGAAACAAGCATATCAATAAAGAGTCTAACTATTCATTTGTAAGCAAAGTTACCCTCTGTCGTGTCCTCTGAAGGTTGGTCCTGAGGATTTTCCGGATTTCCTCCTCTTTGTTTTTAGACAGCTGTGGAATAGCTCGCTCTGGTGCAGGCTTGGTAGGAGGCCTGGGCTGAATGTTCCTGACAATGACACGGGGGGGAAAAATACAAAAATAACAGAGTGTTTGTATAGCACAACAGTTACACAACTTAAACGTGTATAAACACATCGATGATGCTTAAAGATTAGACACATTTGATGAAGCACAGCTACTTATCTTTCTGCACAACATAACACAAAGGATTTTCCTTTGTGTTCATACTACTGTTTCCTACTGTGCACACACCATTTCACAATTAGTGAAGATCGACTCACTTACACTAGAAATTAAGACTAGTCAAAGATTCCTTTAGTGATTTATCATTGATTGCTTATCCTTCTTGGATAATACAACTATCCAAGAAGACCTTTACAGTTACCAAACACTCCTTGTTACTTGGTAGAAGAAAAACAAGAGAGAAGGTGTTGTTTATACAAAAGTATTAGCAAAGAATCTGTAATGCATCAGTGGCCATTTAAGCATGAGCCATTTGCCTGTCATCAGTCTCCCCAACTTCAAAGCTATGCCCTAACCCAAAAGATAGTAAAAATAGGCTACAAATGTCTTTAAAAATGTATAATTATGTACGAACACACACACAAAGAATGAGCATATATATATGGTCATATGTTCATTTGTGTCTCATGTTTATGATATCAGTGAAATTTAAGCCTGTCAACTTTTTTCTGTGGTTATGTATTACACCACCATATCAGGCCTTAATGTCACTACTGTTGTACAATTTAGTGAGTAGATGAATTGCGTTCACCTAAATGTTCCCAACACTGTAAAAAACAAACAAACAAAAACCATTACGATAAAAATGACTTTGAGCACGATGCTGTTTAGCACTCACTGCATGGAAACAGTGGAAGGCACAGCAGAAGGCATCTTGATTCCCCCTCCACTCTCCACCAGCTGAATGGCCTGTTTCATCTCCATCTTGTGGTAGAAGGCAATGAGCTGCGGCTCCTTGGAGCGTTCGCCGGCAATCAGGCACTTCTTCACATACTTCTTGTTGAAGCGGTTGAGTCTGAGAGGACGAAGGGAGCGAAAAATTAAGACGGAGACAAAGAGTGAAATACATGAATTAATTACTGGCAACAACATTTCTGCATTTATTGACATAAATAAATATGTTGTAATTAGATGAAGAAGAGGCCAAGTTCAACAATTTCAATTTTGACAATTAACAAGTTTAAAAAAAAAGAAAAAGAAAAAAAAAGAGCAACTACTAAATATTTCAAACTAGTCGATACATACAAGTAATTTGTAATAAGTATTGTTACAGTTAGCTATATTTGAGTTATAAAATTAATAATGTTATGTCAGATTGATTCTCTTTAAAATCCATACTTGTCCTTCCAGTGGTGATGTCCATAGTGTCCACAGATATCCTCGATGCCAGTGAGTAAGTGGTCAAGGAACTGGGGATGGGAAAAAGCCACAATAGTTGTTGAAGAGCCTTAAAATTGTACTCCAGAATGAATCAGACTTTCTGGACTCTACTGACCCAGGTCCTCTCTGGGGAGAAGTCTCATATATAGTAAAACAGGCTCAGAGTGGTGCAAAGATGCAAAAAGCAACCCTCCATCTATTATAAATTACATCCAAAGGAACATATTACATTTACTGGATTTAGAGCAAATTTCTTTTATGTAAGTCACAATTGCAAGTTTCTATATTTTGCATCCCTCCATCTACAGCATAGGTGTCAAACTCTGGCCCGCGGGCCAAATTTGGCCCGCAGCCTAATTACATTTGGCCCGCGAAGCCATACCAAATTACTATCAGAGCTAGCCTACTGGTATTATACAGCTAATATATATATTGTTTAGTATTAAGCTTTGCTTGTTCCATATTCAGTTTTTCAGCAAAACTTGTTTGAGTCCATAAGAAAAGATTAATTTTTATATCTAGAGGAAGATTTTTTTTTCAATAAATATTAACGTTAGCCCACGACCTTGTTCCAGGTTTGAATTTTGGCCCACTGTGTGTTTGAGTTTGACACCCCTGATCTACAGCATACCACTTGAATGTGAAAGTATTTGTCGTGTAACCATGATTACATTCACTCTTATACTACACTCAATACTCAGCTACATCTTGTAATTCTTGCATTACTGCTGTTACATTTGTTGTAAACACCTTCTGAGATTAGTCCAACATCATCATCATCATTATCGTTGTAGTAAACAGCAGCAGACAATTCAGGTTAAAACAGAATCTATGAGATATGACCAGCAGCAGCAGCAGCAGCCAGGTGATTGATTTGACAGAATTTCTTAACAGTGGCACCATGCCTGCTCAGAGAACTGAAGAAACACACCAATGGATTTGTTGCTCAGACCGCAGCTGGCTCGCCAATCAGACCGGTGCTCTGACTAAGCCTGCAGATGACAGTCTGACAGTCGGTGTTGCCATGGGAACAAGTCATTAAGCAGAACTGTGCAATCTACTTCTGCTTTGTCAGGAGTAACTGGTTCACATAAAGACTGCCCTGAACAGTGGGGGTTAAAAGGTCTCATTTTTAAAAGCGGCAGCAATGGAAGCTAAATAATGAAAAGATCAATATATAGGGATCCATTCTGTAATGTTCTTCAGCTACAAAATCCGTAACTGTGGGGTTTCTCCTTAGACCAGCTTACGTCTATTCAACACCTCAATACAGAAACCAGTACACGGTGTCCGATTTAACACCACATTATGTAGTGAATATCTTCAGATAATCTTACCATCTCAAGGTGATATTTTCCTTTTCAGCTCTATAGTTATACAAACGGAATATAATTTACACCGATACCACTGCCAAGCCGAGAAATGTATCCCAGCAGCAATGTACTGGGAAATGAAGAAAAGCAACCAAACACAATGGAGATGGCAGAAAATGGGCTAGTATGCAGATTATTTGCCACAATATAACTCAGTGCGGAGTTTCCTCAAGCATCTGAGTGAATCTAACCTCTGGTGTTTTACAGTGAAGGGCAAGCCATTAGGACTGCCTGCTTATTTTGCATCAAAAGCTGGTGACTCATAGATGCCTTTGTGCATGTTTGTGTGTCTGCTCATGTGCAGTATAATTTTCTGAGATGGGTTAATGACTTTAACAGTAGGTCAGTGGACCACTGCGGTTAAAATTTCTAGAGTATCAAAAAGTACAGACACCAGACATGCTTTTAGATGTGATGAGTTTGACTTAAATCAGACAGTTAAAAGAAAAAAGGAGAAAAACTGTACGACCAAAGTGTTGGTATTATAGTACAGATCACCAAAAACGAATTTTATGATCCAAGTGTGAATTGACAATCGCTGTGTGTACATCAAACACGCTATACAACTATGCAGTACCACCACACCGTCAGTAGGTGGGAGCAACGACCAAAGTTTGAAAACCTAAACGACCTCATCAGTCGAAAAGCATTTCACATATCCTCCTGAGAACCAGGCTATTCATTTATGTCCTCTCTAATGGGAATTTGTTTTTGGTCTATATCTTTTGACTTATTTGAGCTACCCTACCAAGTCCTGATGTACTAAATAGAGGACATCCTCGGCTTTCTCATGTGTTTGAGGGCCTCTTTTAGCTCCAAAGAGGCAGGAGATCACAAAAAAGTTCAATGGAAAGATTATTTTTTTCCTCAGCTCTCAGGAGGATATTACATAACTACCACTGAAAGGTATGTGTAACACCTTTCTTGCCAAACATATGCTTGTTAGCTTAAGTGGTGATTGCAATTTGCCCATAGGTGTGGCTGCGTGGGTGCCTGGATATCAATTTCTCTGTGTTAGCTCTTATATGGAATGGTGACCTGTCCAGGTTTTACACTGCCTCTCACCCACAGCTGTGATAGGCTCTAGATCCCACTGACCCCAAGTTTGATAAGCAGCTAAGAAAAAGGACTGATTGATGGTTGGGTGGATGTTGCACACATTCCTTCCAATATAACGTGGCTCGAGGTGACTGTTTGGTGTTACATAAATAAAACTGCATTGAACTGAAATTCCACTAGTTCAAATAATTCCAGTATTTGTCAAAATACATCCCAAAAGGTTCTGAGTCATCTGTCTGTGCAACCACTGCAACTGACAGTTGACTGCTGTGAATGGCTGAAGGCAGAGCGCTGTACCTGGGTGTGGATCTCTTCATTAATGGAGCGTTTGGCCTCTTGTTTTTTCTTCACCGCCAGCAGCTCCACCAGGGGTTTGATGGTCATGCCCTTCAAGGAGGATAAGAGGAACAAAACATTATGCAATGTACACACCTCCCTACAGTGGTTAACGTGGTAAAGACAGAAATATATGCATATCTACCCGTCTGTTCAAACAATTAAAACTTATTGTAATGTTTTTCTAACATTTCTGCATCTCTTTGTCAAAGTCATGAAGAAGCTCCACACTTTTTAAATCAGATCAGTCCCGGTTACCGAAATCAGCTGAAGGCTGAGTAGTGTTACAATGCACATTTGTTAGAAAATCCCACAGCACATAATATTTCGCAATGTACAGGAAGTCCCAGATTTCAACAAAATCATGCAAAACTAGTTTGTTACATAGTAAATGTAAAAATGGAGCTAAAAATTTGCATAACACAAACAAGTCTTCTGTACGGGTCTCCCTTCATCCTCCCTATCTTATAATAAAGCCTAATAATGTTTGTTTTCATGTTTGTAAATGTATCTGCTTTTTAAACTGCAAACATTGAGAAATAACTCGGACAAAAAACAGAAACAAACATCAGCATCTTTCATTCTCTTAATTAACTTTCACTTAGTTATACTGGAAATGTTCTTATGTTATTATATGGCATGATTGCACCGCTCTGCACCTCGGCAGCTTGAATGTATCATTCTGCTTATTAAACAGATTAAGACAACCATCTGGTTAATGGTAATGGCATAAACTGGATGATAGAGGATTCCTGCTGTTTAATAATACAGGCATGTATGCACAGGAGCCTTTGCCTTTATCACCTCATGCATGTTTACTCCATACTTATATAAGGACTAATATACAAGAACTTTCAAAGATGACACTCGTTTCTTCAGGGAAGTTGCGATTTGATTAAAATGCTGCACTTTCACCTCACTGGCACAACTAATCAATGTCAGACTGGCCCAATAAGACTGATTATATTTTTTAACAATTTGCCATCTGAGTCCGAACAAAAGGGCCATTATTTTTAGTCTGAGTGAATTTTATCATCTTTCTACACTTGTAACAATGCCTGCTCATAATTACATAAATATAACACTCTCTGTACTGTAATTTAACATTTAACTACATTATAAACATCATGAATGTCCTACCAAATTAAATCGTTTCACGTGGCCATCTTGAATGAACAGTCATGCCAGTTACAACATCACTGACACTAAATTAGACATTTAGCCATGACCAAGATCATAAATCCAGACTTGTTAAGGGCTCAGTTCCTAGTGTAATGGCCACAAGGAGACAAACACAAGTAACCCAAAAAAGGGAAATCTCATTCATATGCCGACTGAAAACTAAAATAATGAAGATTTTCACTTCATATCAGTAAAACTTCCAAATAACAATCCTCATGCAGATACAGACACAAACTAAACCTTGGAGGTAAAAGAGGCTTCTAATTACAAACTCCCGGTCTGCGCTGGCGACAGAACCAGAGTTGCAGCAGCATGAATAAAATATGTTTGAAATCTAAGTTTTAAAGCGAGAGAATGTGCTTTCAGGGTTTTATTTTAGTTACTGCGTGTCTGGGGCCAAATAACCTCTGAAAATCTTCCTACAATCCCACCTGGAGACTGGTTTATCTGACATGGCTAAGTGATGCACCGCAGTGCTTAAAATAAACAAAACACAATGCATGTGCAACACTGAATGTGTCTTTATCTTGAATTCATGTTTCCAGAACCAAGCTTTCAGAGCAAAACTGCATGTCTTTAGACCCATATCTGTTACTCCTTCACAGTTTTTGCATTTGATCTACAGATTTTCTCACTTGCATTTGTGTTAGCGTACACACCTACAGCACAAAATTACATTTTCAAAAACAGGAGCTCATTATTTTTAGTTTAATTCTCTTCATGCATGAATGGTTGCAGAAACATTTGTTCTGAGAGACTAAATTGACAGACAAACAGTACAGGAAACATTCAAAATAGATGTATTAGATGCAAATATACTAGACCAAAAGGAGCTCTCTTGCAAACCAGCATTAATGCTGCTGAGAGATGGACATGAGTGGGTAGAAATACATATCGTGATAACAACTGATGTGATGTCTAACCTACACTTACCAGCCACTTTTCACTGTGGCATTTAAATGATTCTCAGTTGGTATTAAGGGTCCAGAGTGTGCCAAAAATATGTCCCCCCCCCTACACCACTACACAACCAGCAGCACTCTGAACACTTAATACAAGGCAGGGTGGATCAATGCTTTCACATTGTTTACACCAAATTCTGACCCCATCGGCAGCAGCACAAATCAAGACTCAGACCAAACTCCATTTTCCAATCTTCGACTGTCCAATTTTGGCAAGCCTGTGCAAAGTGCAGCCTTAGTTTTCAGTTCTTAGCTGACAGGAGTGGTGCTTGGTGTGGATTCCTGCTCTAGGGTTTGAGTTACTGGTGTCTTCCTTTCAGCTCAAAACAGTCTAGTAATTCTCCTCTGATTTCTGGCATCAACAAAGCATTTTTGCCCCATGAACTGCTCTTTATTGGATATTTTGTCTTTCTCTGTAAACTTTAGAGAGGGCTATGTGGGAAAACCAGATGACTCTGAATGTTAACACCAAGTTTGTCTGGAACTGACAACCATGGCATATTCAAAGTCACCATCCTGATGCCAGATATGAATTTCAGAAGGCCATCTTTACATCTTGACCAGCGCTTAAATGCAACGAGTTGCTGCAGTGTGAGTGACTGGGTAGATTTGTATTAACAAGCAGCTGAACTGGTATATCTAATAAAGTGACCTTTAAGTGTAAAATGCATTTTTATTAAAACTTCTTACAAAATTCTAACTCCAACTGTTTACAAGTTTTGTGAGGGGTTTTCTGATTAACAAATAAATAAATACATAAATAAATAAATAGAGTACTCATACCTGAACAAACACAGTGAAAAAAATCACAGTGATAATGGCAGTGAGGAAAATTTCCCTCTCAGGAAAGTGTTCTTTTTTAAGCAGGAAACCAAGGGAGAAGGCGATGGCACCTCGCAGGCCACCGTAGGCTATAATGAACTGATCCTTGGTGGTCAGCTTGACAATGCGGAACTTGTTGATTATAAAGGTCAGACCAACAACACCTGGAAAGAACAGTGTACAAATTAGTCAGGCTTTGTATGTCAGTGATGTTGTAAGTGTTCTAAATGCAATCTTTCTAGTGTCTTTAGATTGCAACAAAAAGAAAGTACGGAAATCTCAGAAGATTTCAGAAGAATATCCAACTTTCTCCGTATCTTTCTGTGCTGTTCTAGCTTTGGGTTAACCTCTTAGGGTCAGTTAGAATTAATCTGAGCAATTTTTCTGCTGTATGAGGAAAGCAAAACATCCACTTAAAAATATTAGATAATTTTCATGAATACAAATCAACCAAAGCCACTGAAATATGAAAATCTATAGCAGTGACATAAATGACCTGAAAGGTAGAAAAAAAAAAAAAACACTCATCAAAACATGAAAAATGCTAAAGCATACACTCTAAAGCATTGAGCACCTCAACAACAACAACAAAACAAAAAAACCACTGGAACGATCACAAGACAAGAACAACTTGGAACTGCTTTCCATCACAAGATGCTGTATCATATGATCCAAATAAGATGTGTGTGACTTATGACTGATCATATATATAGTGAGAGAACCCTGCAGTCACTGTAATTTCACTTTCAATGCCACCCCGGCAACACACACATATATATATAGACACTGGAGAGTATGACAAATCTCAAATCTCTAATAACAAGAAGAACTTGTGACAACTCAGTGGAGAAATCCTCAGCGGCAATTCCACCAACAGCTGTGTAATAACACATGGTGGAAACACTTAACCCCAGTTCTTTTATTAAGAATGCGGCCTTTTTGTGCAAATCACAATGTAACCCAATCGCCTCTTTTGCCAAAGAAAAGAAAAAGCAAACTAACCTTGAACGCTAGCAATATAACAAATATACTCCTCTGTTGCATGACACTATGTCACACTTGAAATTTGCTTTCATGCATATATTTGAAGAATTCGTGCAAAAATACAGAAGCAGGACTGACCTATAACCCGTGCAACAAGACACAGAATGACTGTGACAGTGACGAAGGTCCAGTTCCAATCGTGAGGTCCGGCAACCGTGGCCACTCCCAGAAAAATAAAGATTAGAGTCTCACTGACACTGCTCCACATTTTCAAGAAGTATTTAATGGTGGTGTGGGACTTGTGGGATATGTTGGCCTCCACATAGGGTCGCATCACGGCGCCGCATGCTATTAACCTGGGAAGAGAAATGGTAATAACAGATTGTTTTTTTAGATATACAGAAACAATTAATGTGGGGTTATTTTGGTCTCATTTCTCATCCAATTGAAAACATTATTGACCACAATAAAGTCATATAACACAGAACCACTTTATGTTTTAAAAGGAAAATATGGTTAAAAGTAGTACCAGTTTTCCTGAGCTGGCAGTTAGAGTGACCACTAAAAAAAACCAGCTCAGAGGTTCAGTTACGGACTAATTTGGAAAAATAAACAAAGTTATCTCACAATTCCTGTCTGGCAGCCACTTCCCTCGTCTAATCTAGTCATGCAATGTTTGTGTGTCAAAAAAGGGCCAAAAGCAACTGACAAATATGCTCAATAATTCACAGCAGCTGGTCCTTGTCAGTATTGCCTTTTCTTTCAAGGTTTTGCAGAAATGACAAAAGGAAATCACATCAATAAGTTCTTTCTTTCCTCTTTCACAGACCAGTAATACAGAAAAACAAATCCAGATTTTAATACGAGGGGCAACACAGCTGCAGGCAAGGGATTGTCCTTGAAGCGACATATCCATCATTCCTGACTTAGGGGTGAGACTAACTGCATCAGCACCTCCCGCCAGGAACATCAATAAGACCTGCAATCTGAAACAGCCTGAAAGTAAACAGAAAATCAATTGCTACGTACTACAAGAGCTGATGAAATAGTATGTCAGAAAATGCTATACATGCCACTAAATCCGAGCTTGGTTCAGGTGGCATTAGATTAGATTAGTTTTCCAAACCACTGGCTATATATAGAATATAATTTTCCTGAACGTATATAAGTGCAATTTTCACCCAGTGGTAAGAATATATAAAGATTATGGCATCTAAACACTGAGGAGAGGTCCAGTACAACATAAGAGTATCTCACTCAATGTAACGCTATGTTGAAATCAGGAAGAACTTCTTCTTTGTAACTACTTTCCATGGGAAATGAAATTCAGTTTTTCCCCAACCGATCAGTCATTTCAGATTTCAACTCAGATGTGTAGCCATGCCATTATACTGCTTGCTGGGGTTCTAAGAGTGCAGTGGAGTGAAGTGAGAACAATTCAACATGTTTCTCCATTTGTTGTACAGTTGTACAAGCAATAAGTGTGGAGAAAACCCCCCGCCAAAAAACAAGACATCATTCTGGCAGCTTTACGGCTGCGATAGTCCCACCCACAGCACTGATTAGCCAACATCCAACATGGGTCAGGTTCCTCTTCAGGTTTCAGACTGTTCTTAAACAACAAAAAAAAAACAAAACAAAACAACAAAAAAACCTGAAAAAACACTATAAAGACATTAAAAGAGGGATTAAAGAACCAGAGTTAAAATCTATTAATTTCTACTAACGAACGCCGGCTGGATCATTCACATTGTATGTGAATGAAACAGTTAAATATAATTTGGTGATCTCTCCCTGGTTTACATACACTTCAGACATTCTCATTCTTAACAGGTGAATTAAACGTGTCACAATGCCAGACAAGCCAGTCATCTTGATTAAGTGGATGAATTTAAACATATGTCCCAACCAGTAAGGGACTAGTGAAGTTCTTATTGACAGTGATCATTTTATTTTGATTGCATTCCATTTACTTACTTTTCTGATTAGGCCACTGCAACCCCTGTTTTTGGTAGCGGAGCAGTTTCTACACCACTCAATCACCAGTGCAACTATGTTTCAACAGCCTACTAATACCATCCGATCACCGTGAAGTCTCTCAGCCTGGTGTTTTGCTAGTTTCAGTTTCTTAACATGTGGAGCTATGAAGCATTAGATAAAACAACAGGCCAAAGGTGACAAAGTTTATGGTATTTAGAGACTTGGACATGGACAATTCTA